TTTATGGCTGAATTTTTTTTTGTAGCAACTAGGACCAAATCCGGGCGTATGTTTTTTTTTTCTTTGAAAAATATTGTTTCCTTCGCTTATGAGCACTAAAATACTGGAAGCCCTGTCAAAAAACGTGTTTTTTTTGCCATAGGGCAAATTTTGTAAGATCTGCCAAAAACCACCAAAACATTATTTCAAAAAAGAAAAAAACATATACACTCCGATTTGGTCTTAGTTACCACGCAAAAACTTTCAGTGCAATCGGCCGAAGCATTTCGGAGAAAAAGGGGAAAAACTTCAAATTTTCTCTAAAAGCGACATTTTTTTCGATATTTCACGTTTTTCATTTTTTTATGCATAGCTATCAATTAATGCAGTTGCAAAGCGGCTAGGAGAATGCATCACTGACCCACACAACACATTTTGATGATGAAATAACTATATTAGTATAGATCATCTACAACACGACAGAGCTATAGAAAGTTGTATTTTTGTATAGGGAATATCTAAAGTCGGGTTTTTTAAGGATCTAAATAAACATGAAAACTTTTCGTTCATATGCCATTCAATAGAGGACTCTTGAATGTCTTTATAGATACAAAAATATCGAAATCGGAAAAGTGAATCTTTGGGGTCGGGAAAGAGGGGGGGGGGTGCCCTTAATCAAAATCATGAAATCAGATTGATAAAATGACCGCGTGAATCAATGACATTGGAATGACTTAATTTGAATAAGTAAATTTTTATAATGCAGTTAGTTCCAATTAATACATATAGTTTTCATTAAACAGACGTATTTGATTTTCTTAGCAATTTTTGATATTGTTGCCTTGGTGCGTTGTTTTACATATGTGATCAACTTATTTCGTTCATATTATTTTTCTAAGTTTAGAATGGAAAAATATTACGTCACAGTATGTCATATATATTCGAGTGAAAAAGATGAAAGAAAAGAAAACGATCATGTTGTGCTCCATTCACTTTTACGTCTGTCGTTATGTTGTACTACACTTTACTTGGAGAATGAAAAAAACCTTAAACAAATGTAGACGTAGACGTGATTGCAAGACTCATACATAAACATAGTGAGTAATAACGACGAAGCATGCACATTGAGAAATGAGAATAACTGCATGACTATGTTTGTCAATGAAAAATGTATTTATCTCTAGTAAAGAGAACTTCCAACTTGTCAACTGCTCGGATTCAAGATTCGCTCAAGGTGTTTTTTAAAACAAACTTAAGTCTGTTATGTAAATTTTCTATTCTCAATATATAGATGTTTACATTGATCATTTGCCTCAAATTAAATTAAGAGCTATAATATTATGACAAGAAATTTCATTGAATTTCAATAACTTTGTTTGAACTCTTGGAAGTGAAGGAGAAGAACCAAATGAGATATTATTTCTTTGACATCTATTGTAGTAAAATAAAAGTAATATTCTTGATCGTAACCCTCCTGTGACAACTTGAAAATTACAAATCCTCATTCAATGTAAATCAGTATCATTCAATAATAAGAAAGTTCATATTTTAATAGAACGTTATTAGATTTTCTGTAGAAACTAAAGTAAAGTAAACTAAATTACATAAAGTACGATTCTTTGTTCATTGTCTGATTCGGCATCATATCCTGATAACCTTCTAGTATAAGAAAGTATTTTTCTAGACACTGCTTGATTGAATACACAATAGTTTTCTGCTGCTAATTTCACTATTTCGTAGTCAACATGATAGAGTTCCTGTTGCTGAGTACAAATATCCTATTTTTATCAAAAAAACTGCTTGATCGCATTTTCAAACTGTTTGTTACATGGAAGTAACAGCTCCTGATCCTGAAAGATCTCTGTTAGTATCCGTAGAATATTAAAATAGTTGCTACCTGACTCAGGTTTTTTTTTCTATATGAAGGCGGAAGAACCTACAACAAACTCTATCGGCATCAGTATTCGAATAACATTGTACTATCTGGATCTGAGTTTGTAAATTCCTGTGTGCCAAGCAAAAGTCTATTCAAGGTAATCCTTTGAAAGATCTTCCATCGATTTCAAAATTTCTAGTAAATAATGATTTTGATTTACTCATTTTCGAGAACGCATTGTTATCAGTTAAAACCATGAAGCAGATATCTTAGGAGCTGGATGTAGATGAAGTATCATGGAATTGCTTGCGATGCTACTACTTTCTTTAATCATGCCGAAATAGTTCATCTTTTGTAGCATGAGTACGCAGTCATTCGATAGCTTTTTTCAGTACGCTGAGAACAATCAATTTTGTTTTCATTATTGTTCATGTTCTGTTTAACCTACACAGTACTGAAGAGGGTGTGAGTGTAAATAGTTTCTTCAATTAATACACAGCCACCCACACTCAACATTGTGTTTTCATTTGGTAATATTCACTAAAAAACTAAAAACATAATTCTACTCGAAATGTTCTTTAAGTAATATAATAATAATTAAATTTCCATAAGAGTTGTTTTTTTTTTTCTATCATAATGTTAGATGACTATTTATCTTCGATTATTGATATCGTTGAATCTATTTGTCGAACATTTTCTATTGATTCTTGTTTATTTATAAAATAGCTTGATAAGTTTGGTTTTGTATTAGTTTTACTACTACCAAAGTATCTTTCAATGACTCTGACTTCTTTTTTTTTGTTCAAATAAAATCTTGACATTTATTTACATTTATTGTCGGCGCCAGACTTAAATGAACTGTACTGTTTTTTTTTGAATATCTCGATATTAGTTTGAGCTATCGATCTGTGATCTTCATCAATTGAAAGAGAAGACGTCAAAATATCGTTTTCTTCGATAACGTATAAGACGAAATCTTTTTAAAACTAATCATCTTCAAATCGATAGCTCAAACTAATATCGAGATATTCAAAAAAAAAACAGTGGAGTTCATTTAAGTCTGGCGTCGTCAATAAGTTTCTTGTATAAATATACAATATCAACACAGAAATAAATATACAAAAATAATCGGACAATTATCAAAGGAGATAGTCATATAATACAAAAAGAAATTCCATTCTGGCTCACATATTATATATGAGAAATTGTATAATTATTTATATATAGTAATTTGGTGATATTAATACATCATCAAAGGTAATAAGTTGATCGTCGGTAAATTTTTCTCGATGCTGATGCCATGAATCATGATGAGTACGACGAAATTCTGATAAAGTTTTTTTCACTGATTTCTAATTAAGAAAAAAAAACACATAAATATAATCAACATTTTCAAATAATTAACTAACTTGAATAAGATCGGGATCATGTGAATGTTCACATAGAAGCATTAATGCAGCTGGTATATAATTTGAAATATCATATGGACTTGAAAGAACAATTGCACAAAGACCGAGAACACCTAAAAATATAAAATATTTAAAAAAATTAATTTCAAATCAATAATATTAATTAACCTCCATGTCGTTTAATAATTTTTTCAGTTGTTATAATTTTTTTTCCACCTTTTTTAATAAAATAATTTATTTTACTCATTTGACTGAAGTGTTTCTAGCAAATAAAAGATTTAAGATGTTTTTTTTTTTTTTGTAAATCAAAACGTAAATATTTACAAAATCTTCTTCATTAACTTGTATATATCCACATTGATAAAATCCTGATAATGTAATAGATGCAACTGAACGAACTTCTAATTGTTCATCAAATAAACATTTAAAAACAAGTTCATGTAATTGTTTTTTATATGGTCGAGCATTGAATAGATTACAAAAAACCATATATTGTACAAATTCCATAGCTACTCGACGTGCATGCCATTTTGAACTTGTACAAACCTTTAATTTTTGTTTTCGGAACAAAAAATAAAATAATTTTTTTTCCATTTCTTTTAGTTTAATATATATTTACTTGTTCTAATTGTTCAATTAATGATTCAAGAAATGGTGTATGTAAATAAGTCATAGCAACATGCATTCGACTGATTGTTAAATTTTCACTTGGAACAATACTTTCTAATTCGCATAGCTAGAAAAATATATTTAAATATGTTTCAAATTAATAAGAATATATTTAATTGAAATATACATATGGAAATAATCGAACAAGGGAACTTTTCATTGGTTGTAAACACCACATAAATATATGTGTATGAAATCGAATCACTATATCAAATAATGCCATGAAAAAACTTTTTTTTTTGTTTTTGTGTATTACCTGTTTCAATAAAATTCAATGCTTTACGAGCTTCTTGATCAATTTCGATCTTTTCGCCAGACATATTGGCTATAAAAGATAAGCAAATCTAAATGATTACTAGCAAATGGTTTATGTCGATAGTAAATTATCGAGCTAGAGTTATGACCGTTTTATTTCAGGTTTTGAACTAGCTATTCATGAAAATGTAAGCTGAAAGATTCCTATTGATAGACGAGTGTCATGGGATATATTGAAATTCTGAAGCAACTCGTGCTATTAGTTTTTTTCTTCTCAATATATGCCCTTTTGATTGAGTTTTTTGCCTAAGAATAATAGCTCTATTCTAAAGAATGAAATTTCTTGTTGTAATTTTTTTCGTAATATCCTATCATAGACTGAAAGTTTGGTAAAAATGATCATAAATCAAGACGAAAAGTTGAATGGCACGAATCCTTTTAGGCTTTGTATCTACATAATGAGTTCTACTTAGAATCGGATGGATTCCCTCGTTAGAAAGTCAATATCTTAAGAAGAATACATTCTTACGAACTGAAATTTTTACAATATTCTAGTATTCATGAAACTTATGTATGACTAAAAAATTTGTCTTTAAGTTTTCCAAAAATAGCTTGCTTATAAGCCCGAATTCATATGGATATTTAAAAGTCCACCTAGTTTTATTCATAGTCAAAATGTAGGATCGAAAAAGCATTTCTTAGCTAGATATACATGAAAATGACAAAAGAAATCTCAACTTCACAAAGCTATCATCATTCTGTTTTCTGAATGAATTATTTGATAGAAAATTTAGACTAATTTTTAGTAGAATTTAACCTAATGGTTTTTTGTCGTAAATTTCTATTGCTTGATGTAATCGTTCACGAATAGAATCAATAAAACGATTTGCATCGAGATGACGTGTTGATTGGCCATTGGGTAGTTTAATGTCGAAACTAAGTGATATTGATAAAACACTATGTAAAACAACAAAATTAATTATTATTCATTAAAATCTATGATTTATTTTCTTTTACTTAGCAATATATTCTCGAACAGCTTTATATGGATGATCAAGCATTTCTTTAGCATATTCATTAATAGTACACCATAGAGTTGGTATACGCCATTCAAAAATTGTTAATTTTAAAACTAAAAACCAACGTGATATTTCAAGAAATGTATTAATTGTTGTTTTATTATTTATTAATGTACGAATAAATTCAATAAGACGATACATTCGACGAGGATCTAAATCTTCCTATAAAATAAACAAAATTTATTTATTTAAAATTAAATTATTATTTAAACAAACCATTCCAAATTTAAAACATGCACCCCAATATGGTAAAGTTTCTGAACTAAGATTAGAGCAAACTTCATTAAGAAATGGAATTAATTTTTGCCATAATTCATCAAGCTAGAATAAATTGAATAAATTTTGTTTTTTTTTGTTTTTGTTAAATACAAACCATTTGTAATGTCCAATATTTTGAACCTCGAATCATTCCAGCAACAATTTCAGCTGCTATACGATGACAATCTGCATATTTTCCTTTAGTTTTTTCATGAATTAAAATATTTAATTGTTCCATAAAATGATCAATAAAATCCGAACCAAAATTTCGAAAAAGACCCTAAATATATTTATATTTAATATGAAAAAAAATTTTTTTTTTTAATTCTATTAATCTACTTTAAACATTCGAAATCGATTTATATTAAAATTTGTTTCATTTTCTTCATCTTCAATAATCATATATTGTATAAATTTTTTTATAAAATTTTTATCTATAAATCTATTATATAAAATAGCAACATGTTCAGGCATAGTTTCTTTTGTATAACGTTCACGTTTATTCATTGAATATTTAATTATTTTTGGCCATTCATAATAACCATGAAAACATTTATCTAAAAAACATGTTTGTTCCCATTCAAATTGTGTTTTAGGTGGTTGATAATTATTATATGTAATCCATAAATTATCATCACGATCACCGGGACATATTTTATTTGTATGATATAAAAGATCATGATTGGATTTTTCAAGATAAATTTTCGGTGGTTTTTGTATACGACATAATGCTGATACACATTGTTCAGCTAGCTGAATAAAATTTAAAAAAAAACAGAACATTAGTTTCTTTGTTGTTTGAATAAAATAAAATTTTATTAGGGATTTGAGTTTATTAATTTTTTTTAATTTGATCGTAATACTAAATATAAGATCTTTCAATGTAAGAAATAAAGTTCAATGAGTAAACGATTGCTATACATAATTTGAATTTGTAATCTTATGAATGAGAGAATTATATTGATTTTTGTATAAAATATGAGCTAGTAATTGACGGATCGATTAGTTTTAGTATCTTTTTCCAATTGGACTAGTCGCATAACTAGAGAATATCACGCACTCTTCAGTAGACATACAGGGTGGTCCAAAAGTTACCTACTAGTCTTAAATTACGAATAACTTTTGATAGGAACAAGATCTAGACCTATGGTGGGGTGTGCGGTGTGGGTGTCAATTAAAAAGCTCCTATGAAAAAGCATTTTTCGTCTTAATGAATATTATATAGATCGATGATTCGAACATCGCTCTTTCGAATGGTGAAAACCGTAGGTCTAGATTTTGTTTCTATCAAAAATTATTCGCAATTTAAGACTAGTAGGTAAGTTTTGAACCACTCTGTAGTCAAAGGATTAAGTCTTTCTCCTAGTTTTCAAAAAAAAAAACTTTTCATTGATAAGATTTTCTACACTTCTTGTTGAGGATAATATAATCGATTAATCTGAAGTTTTAATTAACAGTGCAAAATCAAAATAAACATACACATGTTTAGAATTTGCAATAGATCTTCGCTATTTTTTCAGAATGAGGTAAAACTAAGATGTTCACTTGACTTCGATAGATTACTTTCCAATATCTATGGTAAAAATTTCGAACCTATCTGATAAAGTTAGAAAGAAGTTATAATCAGTCAGCATTCATAAAAATTAGGCTTTTTTTTTGGCGTTATGTAGAGTAAAAGAAAAAAATTCATTAACGTTGTAGTCAAGTGTCGATTAATATCTTCAATGACACATGAAACTTTAGTCTATCATACCTTATGATCAATTCTAAATTGAATCTTTTGGTAGAAAATCGGAGAAATTCCTAAATATGTGTTCGAACATTCAGATTGTATTTGATGATTCCCTTTCAATTTTCCTGAATTTCATTTCTAACATGCATTTTTTTAAAAAGAAATCGTATGTATATTTTATTCTATTCTAGAAACAAAAATGTATCTGTTGTAAGGAATATTTTTTAAATATATTAGACAAACCTTTCGTATATCATTATTTTCATGAGTAAGAAAATCTACCATAACTCTAATACATGATAATGGAATTTGAATTTGTTTTTGAAGAAGAAATAACATAAATGTCATTATTATGATTTGTTGTCGACAAGTTCTAATATATATATATAAAAAAAACAAATGATCTTTTAAACTATAATTATTTAAAATAAAAATAATAAAATAAAACTTACAATACATGATTATAAAATGATGAAGCTAATTTTTCCATTAGATTATTATATGAATTAATATTTATTTCAATTCTTTTTTCATGTATTCGATTATATAAATCTAATTCATGTTTTTCTAATTTACGCCATAAATCAATAGCTTTTTGTTTTGATATATCATTTATATTTTCAATAATAGCTATACTATTAAAACGTTTATATATTTTTTCCATAATACAATTAATTAAATTTTGTGTACTAAGTTTTCTTGCATGTTTTGTACATGCAATTGATGGCCATAATTTTTCAAGTATTTTCCATGAATGTTTAGTTGGTAGAAAAAATGATTCATTACCAAGAAGTATATATAAACAACCTTTTATTTCATCATGATCAACATCATCAGTTTTATCAAGTAATTCAATAATACGATCAAGAATTATTTGATGTGAAAAGAAAAAATGAGAGAGCATTGTAAATAAATAAATTTGTGCTTGACGACGAACCTTTTAATATAAAAATAAAAAAATAGTTATTATAATTATTGCTACAGTGAGGGCTCAAAAAAAGCATGTACATTTTTGTTTTTATGCATAAACGAATAATAAGGATATTCTGAAAATTTTCTCTTATATCGGATTTTGTAGAGCTTTTTTCGCTGATCATTTTGGTAAAAAAAATTTTTTGATTTTCATTGAGTAATGACGATGTTATAGTCAAAATACTAAATACTGTAATAAATACTATATCTAATTACAACTGAACATACTCTGAAAATTACACTAAAACCTCACTAAATTCGTTGCTTTCCAAATAGTAATTATAGTTTTGTTCAGTTTTTTATGCTCTTTCATACGAAAGAGTTGGAATTTAAAAAAAAAACCAAAATTTTATTAATTAATTGCTAATTATTACTAACTATTAATTAATCGCTAATTAATAGTTAACTATTAATTAATCGCTAATTATTATTAACTATTAATTAACTATTAATTAATTGCTAATTATCATTAATTATTAATTATTATTAACTATTAATTAATTAATTAACTGCAATATAAGTATAAGTGCTTGTTACCAAAATGTAGCGCATTAAATTCTGCGTCGAATGATATATAGAATATCTTTCAGATATTGTGAAATAACGTAAAAATTAGCCAAATACTAAAAGTGTGCTAAACTTTTTTCCTTACTTTATATTACAATGTTTAATATTTTGACTATAACATCATCATTACTCAATGAAAATCAAAAAATTTTTTAACCAAAATGATCAGCGAAAAAAGTTCTACAAAGTCCGATATGAGAGAAAATTTTCAGATTATCCTTATAATTCGTTTATGTGTAAAAACAAAAATGTACATGCTTTTTTTGAGCCCTCACTGTATTAATAATAAAGAGATTATTGTGATACACAATCATTCACTATACATCTACTTAATCTTTAGAAAGTAAAATAAGATTGTAGGTCATCTATTAGAATCTCATTACTATTTTGATATTATCATTGAAATTTTCTAATCGAAATGCGATAGTCTCTTTGAAGATATGAACTACTTTTCTTTCGATTATTTCTATTCGATGACTATCATATCTTACACAACTTTTTTCATCGTATTTTACAAAATGAAAAAAAATAAAATAAAATTTATTAGATGTTAAACTTACTTCACTATATCGATGAATAGATAATTCAAATAGTTTAAATATAACTTGTTGATCGATTTGAGTTAATGTTCGAAAATTACTCAATGAAAATAACTATTAAATATAGACAAAAATTTATTTTATTCACTTTAATATAAATATTAATTACTTCAATTTGTATTGCTATACGTTGTATAATAACAAATCGAAGATGTTGTTGTGTACCACATAATTTATTTTTATATAAATATTTAATTACATTAAAATGATTACATAATTTATTTATATTTTGTTCAAATATACCATAGTACATTGATGAATGAGAATAAATCTTTTTAAATTAGAATAATCAAAAAAGCAAAATAAAACAAAACATCTTTAACTACTTTAAGAGCTATATTTATTGATGATGCATCATCTGAATGATATGCAATAAGATGATCTAGTAAAAAAAAATTAAAAAAAAGGAAATTAACTAGGCTAATGAAAATTTTTACCAATTAAATTTCCAATATCGATAAGAAGACGCATTCGAAGATTTTCTTTAAATTCTAATACAACAAAAGAATATATATATATACATTCCGAAAAACTTTATAATTGATTTATTCTCATTTTATATACTTGGTTCTTTCGCATAAAGAGAATATTGAGCTTGAATTTTTGAATCATATGAAGCAATCGATGACACACTATGGAAATAAATACAAAAAAAAAAATAACAAAAATATCATATATTGTTATTTTGAATATAATTCAAGTATTAATTACAGATTTTTAATTTCTTCACTTTCAATACGTGGAACCATACGTAAACAACCAATAGTTATATGATGAAGTAGTGTTAATGATCGTAATCGTTCATCATTGGACATTTTTGACCGATTTTCATTTAATATTTTTAATTCATGATACATAAATATTTCAACAAATTCACAAGCAAAATCAACTTCATCTTCATTTGGAATATGAAATTTAACATTAATTTTATCATATTCAATATGTTGACCCCAAGCCTAGAAATAAAACTAATTTTTGACTAATATTTAACAAATCTTAATTATTCATACTCTAATAGGTAAAAAATCAATAAATGGTTCTTCAATATTTTCAATTGTTAAACGATAATCAATTGGATGAACATATGATAATGATTTAAGTAAATTTTGAGCAGCTTGTGCCATAATTTCATATGAATCTTTATGAATAATATGAATACATCGATGAAAAATTGATAAAATTATTGTTTTATATATAATTAATGTATCACCACGAGCACAAACAAGTTCAGAAAAAATTTTTAAACACCATATTAATTCTGGATCACCTTTATCATCATTTAAAATTAATATATCAGATTGATTAAGAATTTTTTCAATACGTTCATATATTTGTAATAAAAGATATTTTAATGTTTCAACTGGATCTCTTTTTAATATAGCTTGAATAAGACCTGTAAGAAGTTTACTTATTTTAGGTGAATAACAATATGTTGCAAGAAAATTTGTTATTTTTTTACGAATCATCTAAAATAAAAAAAATTTTAGTTAAAACTCAAATATTTCATTATAAATAACATACATGAAAAATTCGTTTACTACATTGTTGAACAATACATGAAATAACTGATGTTAATTCTAATGCAATTTGATGATCTTCCATTTTAGAATTCATTGTTACTATTAAAGCATCAGACATTTCAGTTGATAATGTATCAATCATATGAAATATACGATTAAAAAGTTCACTTATAAAATCTTCAAATTTACTTGTTGATAAACAAACTTCCTTTTCAATCTTAAATCAAAAAAAAAATTCTATTTAATTTAAATATATTTTTTTTTTTACTTCACTAAGATCATTTCTTGTATTAACTGCAGATGAACAATCAACACATGTAATTAACATTAAAATAGCATTAAGAAATTGAAATGTAATTACAGTTTTTTTTAAATCATTTGCATCAATACCAGGTAAAACTGATAATAATAATGGTAAAACAAATATTTGTCCTTGAGAAAATTCAGATGTTTGTCGAACTATTTGTCGAGTTAAACTAGTTAAACAAGTTATTAATGATGTATATCGATATGGTTCAGTCATATTATCAATTGAAGAAAAAAGTCTAACAAAATAGTGAAAAAATTAATAATAAGAAAAAATAAAAACAAAAAATACGAACAGTTCAACTAATGGTGGAACAATAAGTTGTGGTCGAAGTTGAGAAAGATAATGACATGTTTCAGTTGCTAAATCAAGATGATTTTTATTGAATATAGATATAAATGCATATTCTTTAAGACAATTAACAAATTCATCAATATCATCATCACTAAGTCGATATGATTTTGGTGGATTAAAATACCAAACTGGATCACTTATACGTTCTCTAAAATGTAAAACATAATCTATCTACGATCACTTATCATATTAAAATAACTTTATTCGATCCTATTTAAGAACAAATTCTTAGTGATATGAGGTCTATGAGAAGAGATATAACTTTGTCTATAACGATCTGTGAGAAGATATATCGATACAGTAATAAAATTTAAAAAAATTCACTTTTCAAATTGTGTTGGGATTTTACAAAAAGGAAAATATGTTTATCACTGTTCATAAGACTATCTCAAGTCTTAAAATCGAAAGTATACCTTCGTTAATCTTCTTCAGTGTTTTATTATTTTTTTTCCTCATCGATTCTCAAAAAAAAAAAAAATCCGGTTGAATTGTACAAAATTTTTTTTGAATTCGTCTTGTGAGTTATCGAACTCCTTGCATCGTTTAATGTATTTTACTTACAAATAAACTCGATCAACAAATGCTTGTGCAAGCATTGATAAAAAACTAATAAGTTCAGCCTGAAAATCTCCTGTATTTGATGGATGATAAAAAGTTTTAATTGCATTTAATAAATCTCGTAAATATTGAATACATAAATTTTGATTTCCTATCATAGCAACAATCCATGTAGCAATAACTGGTACAGAATAATTTTGTGTTTCTTTCGTTGGCTCTACACTACCAACTGGTAATGAAAGATTTTTTAATATTCTTGTAAAAATCTAATCAATAACGAAAAAAACAAAAAATAGTTAATAAAACCAAAAACTTAAAAGATAATATAAATCTTACAGGTGAAAACCATGGTTCCCAATCAATATATCCAATATTATACCAAGCAACGCATGAAAATAAACTAATTAAACTCTAAATATAAATATATATATTGTTAATTGAAATATTTAATTATAAAAATTCAACTTACTTGTTCCCATGCTGGATTATTACAAACAGTTTCCCAAATATCTAAAAATTCCGACAACCATAATCTAAAATAAACAAAAATTAAAAAAAAAAAAAAAAACAAAAATCTTCACTATTATCATACTTAAATCCTTGATTATGTAATTCTGGTGGTAAATGTACAGGTAAAAACATATTCCAATAACCCATAACATCTCCACAGACTGTATCAAATGGACATAAACATGGTCGAAATTCATCAAGAATTTCTTGAGTAGCTGTTGCTGAAAAATAAGGACGACAGTTATGTACACAAAATAAGAATGAATTTACAATATGTCTAAATAATAAAATAGAAAGAAATATGTTTTTTTTTAATTATTAAATTAATTAAAATATTAACTTAGGCATAGAAATAAGAGAATAAGATTCATCATGATTAAAAAGAACAAGTTTAGCCCATGTATAAAGTATTTTCCAATCAATAATAAGATCATTTCTTGTTATTAAACGCATTTTACTAGAAAGAAAAAATTATACGAACTAAATTTTTGATTTAATAATCATATAGAAAAAAAAAGATAGTAATACGTACCGTGTAAGTTGACTCAATATATCAAAACATATTTTTGCATTGATATAATTTAAATTATTAATTGAAAGAATTGATAAATAGAAATTGATTAATTTTATATGATCAATTTTAGTAAAAGAAAAACCATAATGGGAAATAAATTCTTGTAATTTTGATGTCCAAAGTGGAAAACCAGGTTGTAATTCTTGTAATTGTATAAGACGTGAAAGATTTTCACAGATTTCTTTAAATGATTTAATACGTTGCCGTTTTATTGATTCATAATATGGTGAATATTGATTATAAATATTTGGTTTTTGCAAATTATTATCAGCATATTCACAAATAATTTCTTTATTATTATACATTTTGTTTGAAGTATTATATCTATAGCAAAAAAAAAAACTATATATGTATATAAAATATGAGACAGCGATAATCAAGAGAAGTAACATCCAGGTTTCTAATGATTGAAAAATACATTCTGCTAGAGCTTGACATTGTAAAACTTCTTTACTATGAAAATTCTAGTGAATAAGATATTTGCATATAAACATAGATTTTCAATGTCGTCGCAAGAAGAAAATTACCGAATGAATGAGTACATTCTAAAAGAAATAATATCTGAATTGTTTCTTCGCTGTTAATGTCATGAGTTATCAGCGTATGATGCATTACGTCATTATGCGTTGTTTTCTATGAATGCATATGACAAGGAAACAGAGAACATGATCTATATTTGTTTGAAGGAAAGAAAAACATTGTGAAAATTCGTATCAGATGATATTTCTATAGAACTATTAATGCATCATATGACTTTAAAAAAAAGCACTGTATTGGAGAGAAAAATGACATGAAAAAAGATTGCCAATAATATATTCATATTTGGTAGACATGAATATACATATATATGGGGCCATATATAATCAATTAGTATATTATTGGGCAAAGCTAATCAACCAAATACATCAATCAAATGTACAAGATTTCTTTAACATAGATTTTATCTATCAATCAAAACATGGATACTTAGTTGTACTAGAATTTAATTATTTTGTTTTCAAGATTTAGAGAGTATTCAATTGTCATTTTTTTTTATCATTATGATTTTATCAATAACATCATTCATTTATTTTATTTTGAATAAAATAGTTTGACTTGTTTCATCTTAGATTAGGCTAATTTGAGTAATTTACCGTCTAGAATTCGAAATATCTTATAAAAATTAGAAATAGAAATGCAGGAAAATAATATGAATTTTGTAATTGAGTTTTTTTTTTTTTGTTTCAATCATTTAGTTTTTTCAATGGCTATTGACTAGTGCAAGATATTGGAATAGTGACGTTGCATAAAAATTATATTCATATCTGGTTAAAAATAGTATAGTACTCTCGACACAGTAGAAGAGTCTCCATAATAGAAGACTCCTTAAAAAATCTGTATTTGGAAATAGTTTCTGAAGTTTATTGACTTCTTTTTTAGTATTTAAGTCCATAGTTACACCTAAATTCAGTACGAGCAATATTTTGCTTCTGTCCTCATAACGAAATGTTAAATACGAACGAGTAAAATCTTTAGAAACAGCTAATAGGAAACATCGACCTATTAAAGATTGCATTTCTTTGTTAAAAACATATTGTGGAGTCATTTTAGTACTTCTTTACAGCTTTATTTGAAAACATTCTTCAGGTTCTATAGACGAAAAATACCGTTCCATGATGATAGAATCTTATGAACACAGTGCACATTCGCGCGTGTAACACATGAAGAGATCGTTCTACAATAGTAACAGATTACGTAAAATACTACTGTGTATCAATTAAAGAGCCTCTTCATCTTTGATTTTCTTCTAGAAAATCAGAAACGTTCGTACCACAAAACAGTTTTTCATAATTGAAGAAAACATAACTTTATGTATGTACGTCGTGGTTTTATATCTGAGTACTTCTTTTGAGTTTGAAGATGTATTCATTTTCTCAATAAGATTCAAGGAAGTTTCTCGAAATAGACACAAAAGCAAACACAGAGTATGTATTCAACTACTGCTTTTCTACAAATGGTTTCTTCTCAAGACAACCTTATTCATTAAGGTTAGCTTGAGAGTAATGACAATGCTAATGGTAAAATTCATTGTGAACGAGTTCTATCTATACTAATCGAATCTTCACATCAGCAATTGAATTAAATGAATTTGATTAGAAAAATTAATTTTTTTTTACATTTATTTAGTTATTGACAGGGGCGTAAATAAGGAGGGCTCGCATGGGATGTTACGTCTTCTCTGCTTTTAAAATTCTCTATGGCAATGCCACTCTGACTTTAAAAATTGCTTATGTAGTGCACACCCTCCCCTTTCCAATACTTGAAAAGTTTTGTTATTTTGACTAGTAAAAAGGGCAAAAACATACATAAAGTAGAGATTTACTCACTCTTTGCCAAAAAGTTCTGGATTAAATCAGTCTTTATCGAACAAGATATAAAGTGAAAAGAAAAAACTTCGCTTCGCGAATAAGTGAAAACTTTTCAATTACAACCGACTTAAGAAGTCTTATGTATCATTTAAGCAATTTCTTATGGTACTTTTTAGGCTTAAAGAGTTTCATTTTTTCAGTGATCACGAGCGCGGACGTCTTCGGCAGCAAAAACTTTTAAACAAATATTAACAGTCTCATTCAACGACGATTTGATTTTTTGAAATGCGACAACAGTGAAACAGAATTTTCATCTGTCGACAAAGAAATTTCGCTTACATAGATAGTATCAATCGCATAAGCGTAACCATATTTTGAAGGTCTACAACGTATTTCTAGGAAGTTTTCATTAATGCTGCGTTCCATAAAATATTGTATCAATCAGTAGTCGCTGGCGTGAACGCCTTCAGTATTAGACACATCCAGAAACTTTTTTGACTTTATACCATGACGTTTTCATTCCTCAAAATGAAGGAAGGTAAGAAAAACCAATGTTTTTTTTTCCTTATTATGAGACGTTTCTACGTTGAAAGTATTTTTTGTAACATAATGAGTAAAGCAAGATCACAATGCTGAAAAAGATGTAGATGGGTCTCTCAATCTAAATTACCTTCGAACAATCGTATTTTCCTTTTATACTCATCCATTCTTCTATCATCATACCTTTTTGTGCGTCTCTCTCCTTGCTAATTGATGCTTCTTTTCTGCTGTAATATTTACTCAACTGTATTGTCTATACAAAAAAAAAAACATAGAAAACAACTAAAAATTTCTTTCTTTCAATAAACATTATTCCAGTCAAAAGTTTTTCTACAACCCCCCTTCACAAAAAATTCATAGAACCACGTCATCGTTACTGCGCCCTCCCCCTGCCATCAACAGTGACTTATGCCCCTGATTCAAATAATGTCTTATTTGAATATAGACTTTTGCTTCACTATCTTTGGCATTTATTACAATTTTTATTTAGCTGCATGTCATGATTGATATCTCACGAATATATTTACCGCCAATTCTTCATTTCTACTTCATGTAAAAGTTTTTCATATTGACATCTAGAAATTGATTTTTTACAATTCATAGAGATAACAAAAATTTTTCGTGTATTTTCTTTTTGAAGAAGAATTCTTAAAAAAAAACTTAATTGTCTATTTTTATCTTGAATTTGATGGTTGAATTCACAAAAACTAAAGAAAAAAAAATCTCGTATCTACGAATATTTCACAAACGAAAAACAAAAAAAAAAATTGTAACTTCAATAAAAATATCTGTACAGAAGAATACACTCTATACAAGTTGTATTTCGATTAAAAAACAAAGTATCGTTATCGATTTTGGTCTATAACTAATTGAGTTCATTTAAATATAAATGAGCCTAGTTGTGTCGTGGTCGAAATCTTTTTGGACATTTGAGCCATGCTTTAGCAAACTTCTTTCGATCCTTTGATGCAAAATCTAATAAATACCACGTGAATAAAAACAACTAATAAAGATTCTCTATATATTATTTACATTCTTTGCATTGTTTTTCAGTTAATGGACCCATATCATATCCAGAAAAGCAACGACAATTATAAATACATAAAACTACCAATAAAAATGTAATCAACCAAACACGAAATAACATTTTGATAGTCAATAAGTCTATAAAAAAAAGAGAGAGTTTGATAATGTAAGAAGTAAACTAAATTCAAAATATAATGTCTAACTTAAATTGCTATTTTATCTGCGAAAATGCATGCTGAAAATGAGTAATACTTAAATGAATAACCGATTTTTTTGAGAACGTTGCAACTCGTCACGGTTTTTTTTTTTTGATATTTTTGTCGTAACAGGGCTGTCGTAACGAAAGTCTTGATTTTTGTCGTTACGAAAGTTCTGTCAAAAAAAAAAACCGTGACGAGTTGCAACGCTCTCATTTTTTTTTTACAACTGGAAGAAATGAATCACATTCATCTTTACTCAATTCTTCAGAAGGCGCAAATTAATAATAATTCATGACTAATCATAATAAAATGAAAGTAGCTTCTTTTTTAATCCAAACTACTCACACAACTATTGACGTCGAAATTACAGTACTATACAAAGTAAGCTATGGTTTTCATAAACGTTGCTAATTAGTTGAAAGAAGGAAGAAAAACCTACGCCTACTTTTCCAACATGATTAAAAGAGCATGTGAACTCAAACAGATATATTATTATACGATGGTTATTTGTTCACTGCAAAGAAAAAACAAATACAAAAGGTTAAAATAGATACATCTATTAAGAGAAAGTGACGCATAAAAACTATTACTCATAAATAATAAACTTCATGTTTACCAAAGAATTATATCCATTTCTTAATCAATTGACTAAAAACAGATTATCAATATTCCATAAAAACACATATTATTGAGTATTTATTTATTCTCTATATAGAAAAGATTACTAGATAATAATCAAGATTTTGTTAAAGTGAATAATAATTGTTTATCAGAAGGAATATGTATTTTAACAAATTGTATAAAAATATTTTTTATTATTTCTTATAAACAATGCCATCAAAGTAAAATTTATATTAAAAAAAAGTAAATTTTTCATGGAACAAAAAGTCGCACATTTCATTCATGCGAAGTTTTCAATAGTTGTGAACCAATGTATAAAAACGATACGGATAAATCTAGCTAGAAAATCTCGATGAAAATAAATTTAATAATAAAAGAAAACTAAGTCTTGTATTTGAAGGACGTTTACGAAACAAAACGTCTATTTCTCATATTATTTTCCCACCTATTTTTTTCTCTATTATTCCACCAACTTTGTACAAAGAAATTTTCTTCAAACAAAACCCCATTAACCCTTTGAAGATCGATGGGTTATTTTTAACCCATCTACTTTTCAGTAAAGAATAAATG